ATTTTAAAAGAAAATAATTAAGAAAATCAACATATATTGTATATTTTGTAAAAAAAAGGAAATAATAAAGAATTTAATTGGCCAAGAATTTAAAAATAACTTTTTAAAGCTGACGAAGAACTTGAAAATTAAAGAATATTAAATCAATTTTAAAATATTTAATACGATGAATAAGATTATAAGTATGAAAACGATAACGACGAAGAAATCGAAGACGATTAAATTTAATCTGATATATTACATTACGAATAAATTGAATAAGAAGAGGAAAAAGTAGAAGTAGCTAATTATTAAAAATAAATTAATAAAAGTTATTGATTTTTTGCATTTTATAAATTAAATATATATATATATATATATATTAAAAGCCTATATTATTGAATTGTATTTTTAATGAAAAAATTAAATATATTTTATTTTTTATTTATTTCTTTAAAAAATAAAATTATATAAAGTAAAGAAAATATTATATATATATAATAATCTTATATTCAATGATTTTTATTAATTCCATAATAAGTTTCTCCTACTGTTTTTCTAATTTAATGGAGAGACATAAACATACAAATATTCCAAGTAATAATTCTTTAAGCATTAGGAACAAATCCCTGTAATAAAAAAAAATATAAATTAATATTTTTTTTTTTTTAGAATGTTTTTCTTTTTTTTGTAATTTTTATTAAGAAACGAAAACATAAAAAAAACAAATATTTTTTTTTTTTTTATGTCCTCTTTATCTTTAATGATTGAGTTTTATAAGATTACAGAATTATAAAAAATAAAAAATAAAATAAAATGAAATAAACTAAAAAAGTAATATATATATATATATATATATATATATATATATTTATATATATATATATATATATATATATATTACTTTTTAGAATGTTTTATTTTATTTATATTTAAAAACTCAATCAAATAAATAATGAATATAAAAATTTCATATTTAAGATTAAGTTTTTAATTAAATGCAAAGAAAAAATAAAAAATTATAATATATAATATAATAACCTTGTAAAATGCCATAAATCCATCTTCCTAAAATGTTCTAAAAACACAATCTAAAACTCCTTTATATTAAGTACCTGATCCTGACTATAAAAATAATTAAAAAAATAAATATAATTAAATATTTACACTAGAATTCATAATTCTTGTTTTTAAAACATCCACTGGAGACCCTACAACAGCTGCTACAAAACCTGCAATAGCCGAACAAATCATATGAGTAGAAATCGAGTGATCATGTAATAATTTTCTACTTACAAAGAATTATTTAGATTCATCATATCTATTAATTTAAATATTTTTAATATATATATTCTATTTTTTGCATTTTATATTTAATACGTTGCTAATTCCGTAGCATTAATCACTGAATTTCTTACAATATTAGGTGCTAAACCTTACCATAGTCCTGCAGCACCTTAAGTCCTAACAATTTTTGTATATGCATCTAATACTCCATTATATCTTCTTTCTCCAGCAGGCTTTTTTCCTTCTGCTTATAATCTAATTTTTACTAAATCCTTATTTAAAAATTATATTAAAAATTTTATTTTTTTATATATATAATTTACTGTTGGATTTGCAACCATTATTCCAATACATCCAGTAGTTAAACCAGCCAATATTTTTTTATAAAGAGGAGTTTATCCTAATTCTTCTTTTGATGAATAGAAGTTTCTTACCTGTTTAATATTTAATCTTCATTTTAAATTATAATATTTATTATTTACAGGTTCATAAAGTCCAATTCTAATTGAAGCAAATACCATTTATCTTTAAAGACCGGCATTTAAACCAGAATATAAAGATAAAAAACCTTCTTCCTTTATCATAACTTTAACAGTTCCTAAAACACCATTATACTTTAAAGGTTTTCCTGCTTCAGCATGTCCTGGTTAAATTTATAATCTTACTTTTGCTGTATCGAAAGGTATGGTTGCAGTCTTTTTTTTATTTTATATAGATAAAAGAATATAATATAATTACTTCTGCTATACTTCCAGATATACCTCCTGTTAACATCATAACCCACATAGGAAGTGATTAATTACTATTTGACATTTTATTTTAAATAAAGAGAAAATAAAGAATTAATTTAATAAATAAAAAAAAATGATATATATTTGAATTTAATTATTTATATATGTATATATTTTGTTTGATTAATAATATTTATATCTGAATAAATCATGAAATACGTAATTTGTAAAATTATGATTTTAATTAATTAAATAAATTTATTTAGTTTTTCGAATTAAAATTTTATTAATTTATATTTGAAAGTATTTATTTTTACATTTTATAAAATATATATTTATATTTGAAAGTATTTATTATTAAATTTTATATATATATATATATATATATATATATATATATATATATATATGCTTATTTTCTATTTTATTAAAAATAATATTTCTTTCTGATAATTAATTTTATAAAATTTTTTTTTAATATAAAAAAAATTAATTTATTAAAAAAAAAAAAGCTTTTTTAATTTTTTTTTTTTTTTATAAAATAAATAAAAATATTATTTAACGAAAATATTTTGCCGAAAATAATAATAATATAATAAAAGACAAAAATAATTATATTCACATATATATAAAAACAAATAAATATAATAATAAATAGAAAAAAATATGTAAAGCCTTAAAAGAAAATATTAAACTAATAATACTTAAACTAATTTATAGATTTAAAAAAAATAAAAACCTAACAATTATTTAGAAAAAAAAAATTAAAAAAATCATATCCAAAAAGATAATAATGAGCAAAACACATACAAAAACACTCAAAATAATTCAGAAAAAAACACAGAAAAAAATCTCAAAAAAAGCCTAAAATAGTAAAAAATTCCATAAAATGATATTCTTTCATTATAATTATAAAATAATTAATAAATAATCGAAAATAAAAAATAAAAAGCTGATAAAAAACAAGAACCAAAAGAAATAATATACAAAGATTTTAATTAATTTGGAGTAAAAAAAAATTAATTTCAAAAAAAAAAAAAAAAAAAATTAAAGTTACATGAAAAGTTATTATAAGCCTGTTAGCGTTTAAATTACATAACACCAACCCCTATATAATAAAAAAGCCTTCCTCACACATTAAAAAAAAAAGACATAATAGCACTCGCCGAAACAGGTTCTGGAAAAACCCTATCATTTGCCCTCCCAATACTGCAATAATTTTTAAATTAACCACATGAATATTACGCCTTGATACTTTCTCCAACAAGAGAACTATGCGTATAAATATCAGAATCATTTGAAAATCTAGGAAAAGAATTCGGTTTGAAAGTAGTAGTAATAGTAGGAGGATTAGACCCTATAAAGCAAATGATTGCCTTGTCTAAAAATCCTCATATAAGTATATATTATAATATAATATATATATATATTTATTTATATATATTAGTTGTTGGTACACCTGGAAGAATTTAATATCATTTTTAAAATACTAAAGGTTTTTAAATGAATAATTTAAAATTTTTAGTTTTAGATGAAGCTGATAAATTATTAAATATGGATTTCGAAGCAGAAATAAATGATATTTTAGACAAAATTCCGAAAGAAAGGAATACATTTCTTTTTTCAGCTACTATGACTAATAAAGTACATAAACTATAAAAGGTTTCATTAAGAAACCCTGTTAAAATAGAAGTTTCAACTAAATATTAAACTGTATAAACACTAATTTAACAATATTGTTTTATTCCAATAAAATATAAAGATTCATATTTAGCTTTTATTCTGAATGAAAATTAAGGATCTTCTTGCATTATTTTTGTTACTACATGTATAAATTCTATTAGGTATTAATATATAAAAAAAAAAAATATCTAAATATATAAATATTTATATATTTATATATATATATATTAGACTAACTTTAATGTTAAGGAATTTAGGATTTTAAGCTGTTTCTATACATGGATAAATGAATTAAACAAAAAGATAAACCGCAATTAATAAATTTAAAGACGGATAAAAGAAAATACTTGTAGCAACTGATGTGGCCTCAAGGCATACTTTTTTACTAAATATTAATTTTATTTTAATTATTTTTTTATAGAGGATTAGATATTCCTTGTATTGATTTAGTTATAAATTATGAACTTCCTGCAAATACAAAAGAATACATTCATAGAGTTGGAAGGACGGCAAGAGCAGGAAGGAAAGGAAATGCTATAAGTTTAATTTCATAATATGATTTAGAAGCTTTTTTAAAAATAGAAGATTTATTGGGTATCAAAATCGATTAATATAATATCGAAGAATATAAGGCTTTGGTTTTTAATGAGAGGATTAATGAAGCTTAAAAAATTTCAACAAAATAATTAAAAGAATTAATTGAAACTAAGAAAATAAAAGAATGAAAAATATTGTTTCCCTTTTGTATTTTATAATTAAAATAAAAAAATATATTTTTAATATAAATATTAAATAAATAAAAAAAAATATTTAGAATAAATACAAAAATTTAAAAAAATACTAAAAATATATATTTTAAATAAATAAAAAATTTAATTTTTTTTTTAAAAAATATATATATAAAACAATCAAAATAATACCCAAAAACCCATATTAAAAAAAGTTATAAAATTAAAAAAAAACGCATATAAACTTAAAAAAAAAAAGGAAAATCAATCCTACAAAATATTATTTTTATCTTCACTAATATAATAAACTGTCCAATCATTTGGTGTTTTTTCATTAGGTTTTCCATGCTTATCTAACATTCCTTCCTTAATAAGATTTTTCTTTCTCAAAGACCTCGGTCCAAGTCCCCATCTTTTCGGGTAAAGATCTCTATCCATCACTACTCTTTTAGTTTTTGCTACTACCCCATGATCACAAGTAGCTAATTCTGAAGTTTACATTTAAGCAATAGCAACTGCCACAGCTTCTCCTTTAGTGGTAATAAGTACAATTTCTTTACCTAATTCAATTCCATTATCATATCTAAGTACTCCTGGTAACATAAGTTTAGCCCCATAACAAATAGAATTAACAGTAGAGTCTTTAACAACAATTCTAGGGAAATTAGTAAGCAAGACTTCCTGAGGAATAACTACTTTTCTCAAATATGAATCGTCTTTATAATTTTCATATCTCCAAATTGAATCTTTAACATCATGCATAGTGACTAGGTATTTATTTTCATCCATAATACCGGATCTTACTCTTCTTAATTCTTCCATATGTCCCCCTACACCTAATAATAAACCTAAATGTACACATAAAGTTCTCACATAAGTTCCTGCTTCGCAACTCATCCAGAAAATCCCGAGTCTTTTCTCGGGATTATATTCGATTAATTTCGACTCGTAAATAGTTCGAACTCTTAATTCTCTCTTAACAGCAGATATTAGAGGAGGTTTTTAAAAAACAGCCCCTGTTAATTATTACAAAGCCTTATTTAATTTATTCGAAGACTAAATTTCTTAATGTAAACGTACTATTCCTACGTATTCTTTTCCTGCACTTTATTGAGCTTTAGCAAGTCTTGTCGCTCTATTTAAACATACAATTAAAGATCCTGTCACTTTCGGATCTAAAGTACCCGAATGCCCTGTTTTGTCCATTTTTGTTATTCTATCGAATAATTTCTTTATCCACGCAACTACTTCATGGGATGAAGGATTTGATGGTTTATCTAAATTTATTACTCCGTATTTTAAATGTTCTTCTACAGAACGGGATAAAGGAGTAGATCCATTACATAATGGAGTATAATGAGATGATCTAATGTTCATCTTATCGTAGTTTTTTAATAGTAAAGGCCATTCACTGGCATCTAATTTAGCTTTCGTGGAAGTCAAGGGCTTTATATAGTCTTATTGGACTTTTTAGGCATTTACTTCAATGTGATTATTGGTTACTTCGACTTCTTCTTCTTCATCTTGGAAAGATTTTTTCTTAATTTATTTGCTTTTTTTACCCATTTTTATTTTTATGTTTATTTTCTTTATTTTTTATTTTAAGATGTTTTATTATTTATTTATTTTTATTTAAAAAGATTTTTGTATTTTTGTATTATTTATTTTTTATACTTTTTTATTATATATATATATATTTAGTTTTGTTATTATTTTTTATTTTATTTTAATTTTTTTATAAAACTTATTGTATTTATTATATTTTATGTTTAGTAGTTAGAAATTTTATTTCTGAATATTATATAAGAAAATTCTAGTATTAAATATTTTTAAAAATATTAATATTTTGACAATCATTATATTAAAATAATTAGTTATAAATAATTAAAATATTATATATATAATATTAAAAAAATAAACATAAATACATATATATATTTATATAATTTTACGAAAAATTTAAATAATAGTTTTTAATAAAAACAAAAACATATGCATAAAAAATTTATATAAAAAGTATATTAACATTTTTATTATATTTTTAATTTCAAAATTATTCTTTATTTTAAGATGCTTATGAATAAAAGTTATAGCATAAATCTTTTAATAAAAAGAATCATATTAATATTATATAGTCTTAATATAGTAAATAATAATTTTATATTTTATCTGTTATGATTTTTATACTATACAACTTCTTTATCCAGAACTAAATTAATAAAATAAAAATAAAAATAATTGTTTTTTAAATCAATAAATATTTTAATATTAAAATTATTATTATCATTATATTGTGCTAGATTTAATAAAGAATATTTATTACTTTCCTAATAATTATATTATTTTAAGACAATTAATAACTTTAAATTTATTTGATATTTGCATTTAAATATAATATTTATTAATTTTTAAAAAATTATTATTAATAGGTTTTCTTCCATTATATTATGTAATTTAAATAAGAAATATCGTATATGAAAAATGATGAGGAATATATATTATAGCAACTTAAAAAGTTTAAATTCATAATAAAAATATAAATAAAAAATATTTTATATAACTTATAATAAAAAAATATATATATAATATAAAAAAATATATAAATAAAAATAATATAAATAATATATATTAATAATTAATATTAATATTAATATTAATATTAATATTAATATTAATATTACTTAGTGATTATTTTATATAATTTTAAATAATATATTATAAATAAATATACTTATAATTAAATTAAATAAATTAATTTGATATATATATTTTTTTAAATATTTCTTCTTTATTATTATATATATATTTAAATATATATAAAATTAATTAATTTTTATATTGTATTTATTAATTTTATCTTAATTTATAATTAATAAATATCATATAATTTTATTTAAATTTATAATTATTTTAAAAAATTATCATAATTTAGCAATAAAAATTAATTTTTTTATTTATATTTATATTTTATTAATTAATGATAAAATGACTGTTATACTATACATAAAAAATAAAATAAAAAAAATTAAATTTAATATTTTATATTTTAAAAAATATAAAATAATCATATTTGTTTTTTAAAAATAAAAATT